TTGGCTTTAATCACGTTTGGTCTGTACAACTGCCATGAGTTGTACTACCATTATCATTGTGTATCTGAACACCAAATATTCCAATACATCAATAATACCAGTGTAAACAGTAATACAGTTGATCAGTCTTGTGGCAAGACTTTTCATTCAAGTTTGTATTTGAAAATACTCGATGGTTTAATCACAACACATTGTAATGCGATTGTAATTGATCTCATCTCATCTCAGTCCAGTCCATCTGATTTATGATGATGTTTAGTAATTCATTACCATGTGTTGTAGTAAACTAACTTGTTTATTGAACCAAATCTACAACGATCACATTCAGAATATTAATTTACAGTATTTCTAAATGCATGTTTGATAACAATCCAATTTTGTTACAAAAAACTGATCAAAACAATACTAAAATGGAACAACTCGTTTGTGTGTTTTACAACAATCCAAACATGAACAATTCTCGGCAATTGTTGGACATTCGCATGAATGAAATTATCAAATCAAAATTCAACTTTACTAATTTTATCAAACATGAAGTTGGATGATGTTATGAAAGAGTTGATCAAACACCTGGAAGATTTGAAACTGTTAACAGCGGATGCTCAACTATACAAGGCTGATGAAATATGGGACAGACTGCTTGTGTTGATACTGGAATTGGAAGAACATGATTCATGTAAGTTTAATAGTCATTGTATTATTGATGCATTCAAACTGTTGCTGACTTTGTGTTGGTTTTGAGTGACAGAGTCTACAGATGCACTGCAGCGCTTACAGAGTATTGAATTGGAAGATATCACAGCCGAGTATTTGGAGTATAATCGACCCAGTTTACAGGTATTCATATATTGTAACAATAATGGATTGCTGTTCATGACTAAACTAATCAACATGTGTTGTGTAGATCAAAGTAATGGAGTTTACTGTAGTGTTTTTGAGAATGGTGTACTATAATCATGAGTTCAAAGTATCACAACGATTAAACAACCAAATTGTACAACTCATGCAATCACCAAACCGTCAAGTCAAAATGATGGCAAGTCATGATTGATATTGATCAAATGATTGTCATTCAACTCACCCAGTGTCAATATGCATATAGGCGATAAACGCATGTATAAAGTTCAGCCATAAATTCTGGAGCAATAAGGATCAATTTGATTTTAAGCCAATGGTTGAGATTATTGTTCACGATTCCGATCAAGAAATGCTCAGATTGGCGATTGACCTGTTCTTGGAAGTTTGTCATGATATTGACGATGATAATGTATGTTTGCAATGATACAATATTGGATCAGTTTGGACAGTGTCATGTCATGTCTTGTTGATCTAATTGTATACTTGACATTGAACAATATCATTAGTTTGGCATCGTGTTGTCAAGACTCGTTTCACGACTGGAATCATCCGATGGTTCAGTTGCTGTTGGGTTTATTAGAAATATCAAAACCATGTTTTGGAGTATTTATCCTCATGACCCAGTAAAAGCAATGGAGTGTGGCATCATTCCAGCACTGGTCAATACGCTCGGGTATGTGGTGTTATGCATGAATGTGTGTCCAGTCATTACAATTGGTAAATTTGACATGGTTGGATTGATATGACATGAATACAGGAGTGTCGATCAAATAGTGATTGATCAAAGTATTGATACTATCGAGAATTTTTACAACTATGCAGATTGTGAAGCAATTGCAACCGAGTTGATAAGGTCGGGATTGATTCAAATGTTTAGTGACTTGTGTATCAGATACAGCAACGACTCTGAACTAAAAACACGCATGATCAGAATGGCTGGAACAGTTGCATCCAAAATGCACGACTTTCCTGTATCACTTGCACGATCGTTGATTTTTGAGCAATTGACGATATCAGTGTGTGATCTCCGCATGGGTTACTCTTTTCGCCTGTTTGATAATGTCAGCGACATGATTCAGAAATCTACAAACAAGGTCGAGATGATCAAGGTGTTTCAAGAATATGGAATTGTAAAGCAGCTCATCACTATTTATTCACGTAGATATCTATGTTTGCATAATTCTGGTGGTGATCCTGGTATTGTAAACCTACTCAGGACACTTGTTGATTTTGCCGACAATCATCCCGACAGTTCAATACGTATCGAGTTGGATCAAGGCGGGATGTTTGAAAATCTGATGGCTATTGTAAAATCGGATGCTGCTGACCACGTAAACAAGAGGGTTGCTGGCCAGATCATTGAAACGTGTTTCCAGCATCGGGTTCATGTTGCTAGTTCAAGTATTCAGCCATACAACGACAATGCCGAAATTGATATGAAATCTGGAATGGCTGGATATAAACATGGAGAGGTGCGCACACTTGTCGAAATGCAGTATATCCAGTATCTGCAATCTATACTTTGCAAACCCATGTGGTGGATCGATATCACAAACCAGCATATTGTGGAGCAATGGAAGGCTGACTCACTCGATCGGAATATATCACCATCAACATTTAATCTTGCATTGGAACAACTCGAGGTTTTTGTCAAACAACTTGTTTGTAGTGGCAGTGATGGATTTGGTACAATTGTCCCAGGACCTGTTGAACTGACGTATATACTGGACAATGGCATACCTGACAATGTATACACGCGATTGATGACAAATGTATCGGATATTGAACATGGATCAAATCACAACACTGGTCAAATGGTGCACAATCTGATTGATGCATCAATGTACAGTGTTGTATATGGACAAACGATGATTGTACCACTGAGTATACGACTCACATACACCACAATGGTACCATGCGATATATTGTTATCGACTCGACTTGTTTCAAATGTGCCCATCATTGAAGGT